AAAAAAAAAAAAAAAAAAAAAAAAAACCCTTTTAACATAGAACTTGATAATATGGCTGAGTTAATACATCAACTCTTCTCCACTAAAGCTGTAGCTAACTTCCAGAGCTCTGTATTTATATATCTTCTCTTATTGTTTCTTTGAATATCAATTCTAGATTGCAGGAGGATTATGTGATAATCTTCTGACATGCATTGTTAGAGCATGGGACTACAACAAGCCTTTGTTTGTTGCCCCTGCGATGAACACATTTATGTGGAACAACCCCTTTACCAAGCTCCATCTCGAAACAATTGACAAGCTTGGGATATCGGTAATCCCTCCCATCACAAAGAGGTTGGCTTGTGGGGATTTTGGCAATGGCGCTATGGCCGAGCCTTCTGAGATCTACACCACGGTGAGGCTCTCCTTGAAGCCGAGAGCAGTGAATGTCTCTAGTTAAATTTGTAATGGCAGTCTGCTGCTCCTTGGAGTCATGATGTTTGTTTTGTGTACACAGTTTGTTCTCTGTTGTACTCTTGTGGGATTATCTTGTTTTTAGGAATAGATTATTCCTTATTTCCTTTTGCTATTAGGAGCTGTGTTTGTAACTGGCTAATGCTTCGTTGTATTTGTCAGATGATATTGTTTGTAAGCTCAGACTGCCACATGAAAAAGTCTTTTGAGTGGGATTCAATCATTTCTAGTCATGTAAAGCACAGAGCCAGTTGGTTTCTTTGTACTGCACGCCGTAGAGTACTTTCTGATTATTATAATTGTTGATTAAGATTATTAGTGACCCGGTCTCTTGGTCGTTTATTCATATTTTAAAATTTTTATTTTACAGTATTTCTGTTGCTGATATTGTTAGCTATAACTAAGAAAAAGTAGCAGAAGTTCAGAGCTGAAGGTGTTAATCTAACGTTTAAAGTTGGAATTTTTTTTTTAGTTCTCGCTCAAGATAAGTTATTATTGTCCATTAGCTGGTACATATTTTCCAAGAGGTTTTCCTCTGTTGGATGGAGAAAGCACTCAACAGGTTGGTATTCCTTTAATACACGTTTAATGTTATAGATTCAGTTTCACTGGATACTTTCTTACGTTACGTTAAATGAGTTTCTCGGAACACAAAATTACCGGTATAATTTCTGTCTTTCTGCTATCCTATCGCTGATTCCCCCTCTTGATTCGAGCTTGTAATGCTGGATGAAATTGCTTAGAAACTATGGGAGTTAAAAAAGAAAAAGAAAAAGATGATTGATTATAAGAGGGGAATTGGCCAATGAATTGACATAAGTCACTTGGACAAGTTTTCTTGTATCTCATGCATCTAGACTGGCATATACTTCCATCTTACGCTTTCTAGACGATTTGCAAGACCCTCGAGTAGATTGAGTAGCGTAGATCCAATGCCCTCATTGTATTATTATTCTACGGACTAATTTCTCTTCTGGACTTTTTTTCTCTCTCTTTAGGTATAGGCACTTTTTTAAGCACGAGGGACTCGAATCATCAATTTTACAGCTCAATTTAAACAACGCAAACGAACTACAATTCGATAATAAGAAATGTTACTCTCAAATTAACACATTCAGATCTTCTTAACAGCTAGATAGCGAAGAAACGGTTGTCACAATCGTTCATCATCTAGTAGATGCTTATAATACGGATCAAGCAAAAAATAAAATAAAATAAAACGATCAATTTACTACTACGTGTAAATCAAAATGACAACGAACAGCCCGCTACTTTTAATTTCAACCGTCGGTTATTTAACGGACAGCTGTGATTGTAATAAGCTTTAAAGTGAATCACAAATCTATCCACGAACATCCATCAAACAATCAAGGTACTAATTAAGAGTAGCCGTACCCTGTGACAGGCGGAAGAATCCAAAAATCCCTACACCAACAGAAAGCCAAAGAAAATTTGGACTTTACAATTTATAACTTTTTTAACTTTTCGATAATATTTTATAAATTCCCCTCTCCGTTCATGCTTCTGCATCAGGGGGTTACAAAAAAGAACGTGTGGAGGTCAACTTCTCCTACCGACCTCTTCCCATACGTTTGATCACGCCCAACACTTAATAAACACCATTCCTTTCCCTTCAAGCTTTCCTACAACACATTTTTTATCCATACTTTTTTTTTTTTGCTGGGATATTTTCTATCCATACTTGCAAGCAAGCATAGACAACCAATAAAAGATCAAGCAAGATTCTCACATTCATCTCAACCAAGAGAAAAATACTCCAGCAAACAGGAGCACCAGGGAGAAGATGAAGAGGCAAGGAAAGCAGCATAGAACTCTGAGGATCATCACCAAGGCTACAAACACCGCCGCGGACGAGGTGGTCTCCGGCCAGAAGCACAAGCACAAGGGCAAAAGGGGCAAGAAGCCGGCGTCGAAGTCAAGGGACAAGGCCAAGGGGGCGTACAAGCTCAAGTCTGGCGATGTGGTGCTCAATCATCGCCTCGAGTCTTGGAGGGTGGCCACCGGTGAGGATGGTCGCTGGTCGAAGGGTTTCAATGGCGAAGGATATGACGACGACGACGATGATGATCGCGAGAAAGAGTACGGTCATGGAGATGCTCTTCGTGGCTCTGTAGTTGTTCAAGAGGTGGAGAGAAGCGTTCACGGCACTAATGATGAGGAGGAGAGAAGCGCCGGTGAAGAGGAGGATTTCGAAGGCGAAGGGTGTGATGAAGATGAGGATCATGAGGAGCAAGAGTACAGTCATGGATATGGCCTCCATGAGTCTGTAATTGTTCAAGAGATGGAGGAGAAATGCATTCATGGCACCGATGATGATGATGATGATGATGAGGGGGATATGGGATTCTATGAAGTTGGATTTATTTGGGAGGATGTTGATGATGAAGGTTGGTGTGTTGTGGATGAGATGTGAGGAATTGAACTTCACATTACTCTGTAAATAAAATGTTGTAGATGGATTTCATGTACATAATCTCTTTGCCTATGGCTTTAAGCTTTTGTGTGACAATTGGGAAATATTGATTCATGAAACTGACCGTCTTCAGTAGTGATTAGTTATTCACCTTTCAAAGATCTATCAACAAAAGGTTCATGTTGTAGGAAGTAGGATTCAATGTTTAGAACCAATATCCTCTTGATTTTACAACACCAATATGCCTCCAGAGAGTGGGAACAAAAAAAGAAAAATAAAAGAAAAAAGAAAACCGTCCTTCTCTGCGTACCTGAGAGTGTAGCTCTCGTGACATTCACAATAATCCACAACTGAATAAAGCATCTCATCTTCACATTTGGTCGTCTGACGAGGAACACTATCCAGCTTGCGTTTTGTTATCATTATTTCAAACTCGTAGAATTTCTGAGTAGTTGGCTACTTTTGCCCCTCGTACGTGGATTTGTCGCCCTTATCGACGTTTGAGAAGATGGCAGAGAATTTGGGACTGATTTTTCTCTGGAGCTGCCCTTAATTGATGTTTGAGGAGAAGGCAGACAATTTGGAACTGATTGTTCTCTGGACTTGCTTGATCTTCCAAGTTTGGGGGATTTAGGCCTTGTGCTCAGTTGAACCTGTGATCAAATGTTGCCGATAAGCAGTAGCATTTGCTTCTAGGTAGAAATTAGGAACAAGAGGGAAAAAGAATATAATGTTACTTATAAACGATGTAACCCAATTTCGATAATAAATACTTTTAAGGTAACCAGAAGGCGCAGAACTTTTCCCAAAATATCCACAAATACTGATATAATCTAGCGAATGGAGACTAGCAGATACACGAAGCATGGAGCATGGCTTCATTTGGTTAAGGGGGTGTCTGTTTCACTCTTTTATAGATTAGGAATAGGAATTGGATCTGACAGGGTAAACTGTAAATAAAGAATTCTAATGGTATCCTATTCCTAAGTTTGATTCATAAATTTTTTATAGATATGGGTATCTATAAAGTTGATAGAGAAGGGGGTTTATATGGAAACCCAAATCAGATGGGTTTGGATGGACTTGGGTTAAAAAGCTGACAACACCCCTACTTTTCTCGATTCCTTTCTTTTTCGGATTCTGCTGCACCGCAAACCCTAGATTGGTTTCGGCCTTCTCCAACTAATCTCGTCCCGCCTCTTCTCAATCTTGTTCTCGCCTCTTCTCGATTAGTTTTTCCATTTCGAGCTTCGATTGCGAGCATTGATTTCGAGCTTCTATTCGACGCTTCGATTTGCAGCATCGTTCTTCGATTTCGAGCCTTGATCCGAAGCTTCGACCTTGAGCTTCGATTTTGAGCAGAGATTTTGAGCATCGATCCCAAGCATCGATTTTGTTGTTTCGGTTGGTTGCTTTGGTTTTCAGTCCTGATTTAGAGCTTTGACAGTTAGAGGTATAAATCAATAACCCAGTTTTTTAAAAATTAATATATGATCATGAATGGTTATTTGTCATGGTTGATTTGGCAGTCAAACTTTGATAATTTAGAGCTTCGTTGTTCCTTATGTGCTAATAATCGCTTATAAATTTTGAGGTTTAGCTATTTTTGCTAGTGGTTTTTGCTAACACACCCCAACATCGAGAAAGTTAACAATAATGTAGACTACATTTTTTATTGCGGCCATAATATATTGTTCTTTTTTTAATAAGAATACTGAATGTTTCCCCTATGTATGTTGACTTTGTATATTCAAGTGAATAGTCATGACATATTGCTAAATTAACTAGTTTATGAAAATAAATTCCTGCTGAAATTCTTTACGAAATCTGATGTGATCAGGGATGCATGTTTAGATTTGTGGATATTTAGTAATTTTATTTTAAGATTTCAATATATGAATTAGTTATTTAATTATTGTTATGTATTGAATAAGTAGAAAAATTAAGTTCTTAATATAAACTAATTTTACAATGGATATAGATGGATAATGTAGATGAACAATTAAAGAGGATGTGTACTACTACAACTGTTTCTTCCATGGCACGATAATAACTTGTCTTCTGAGAATGCGTGCTAAGCACAAGACAATTTCTAGTTGTACGAGGGAAGAAAAGATTAAAAAATATATATTGCAAAGACGCTTCGACTTGAACATGTTGTATCCTTTAATAAACCATTTGCTTACATTATTTTATAATTTATAGTTTTTTATAGGATTGCATTGGTATGATAGATGACACACGTTGACATAGTGTTACCCAGTAATCTAATTGCATGGTTTAGAGGGCGGAAATGTGTGACACTATGTTTTAGCAGATCGCATCCCCTTTGTTACTGTCGGTTGGAGCTTGTGATGCTTTTTTTTGACTTTGTTGGTTTTAGTTTATGGAGCTTGTGATGCTCATTGTTTGGTTTTGTTGTTTTCGGTTGATTTGGTGGATGGAGCTTGTGCTCATTGTTCATGGAGATTGTGATGCACATATTTGGTTTTTTTTAGTTTCGGTTGGTTTGGTGGAGGGAGCTTGTGATGCTCCTTGTTTGGTTTTCTTGGTTTGGTGAATGTAGCTTGTGATGATCCTTGTAAATTATTATTGGTTTCGGTTGATGGAGCTTGTGATGTTCATTGTTTGATTTTGTTGGTTTCGGTTGGTTTGATGGTTTATAAGATCCTTGTTTGTTTTTGTCAGTTTAGTGGATGGAGCTTGTGATGCTCCTTGTTTGTTTTTGTTGGTTTCGGTTCATGGAGCTTGTGATGCTCCGTAATTGATATTTGACAATGATGATTGTCTATTACTGAGAATGCAATTTAACTTACAGCGTTTATTATGTCCAGATAATGCAATCTATGATGAGAATGCAATCTACTTTGAATTGATAATGTCTAGGTGAGGTAATCCATCATTAGAATGCAATCTTCAATAAACCTGTAAGTTATAGGTGGGGCATTCAATTTTGACAAAATAACTTATTCCTGAGCCACGCAATATCAACTAGATGTGTAATGATATTTTACTCAATTCCAACAAAATTTCCATTATAATATCAATAGTTTTTGCAAGTACAAGTACATAATGCAGTTTACAATAATTAAAATAATACAAAATATCACTACTAAAAACGCAGAAATTTTCCAAGCTAGCAGTTGTTTTTTAACAAGTTTTAATTCTTTCTTCAGCCTCTTTAATTTCAAAAAATATTTATCTCCAAACATATTTTCTTCGACAATTTAGTTTACGTGGTTGCTTATTTCTCCTCCTTCATGAACCCACTCAAATAAACTACATTTTTTATTTGGGTATTTTGCACACTCCTAATAATACATCCCCTTATTTCTACCATTCTTGCACACTTTCATGGGTGTTTGGAGATTACAATTGCACCAAACTTCAAAAAAATTAGGGTATTCTTTTGATATCATATTGATGGAGAAGGTAAAATTTGCAAACTATGAGAATTTGATAAGATTGTAAGAATGAGGGATACATAGGCACCATATGCCCTCAATCCACATTTATAGCTTCCAAGGCCTTGAAACTAGCCGTTGGAGTCATAATTTTTTCTGTTTTGAATTTTGGTAAACGGGTAAGGTTACCCTCACTTCTTACTTAATAATATTTTGTCCACTAGTGAGTGGTAAGTTTACCTATGGTGTTGTCATCCATTTATCCCAAAAATTTCTTATTCCAAACCAAACAAAAGAATAGGAATTAGAGGGTTTCTATAAAGTTAGATTCTATATTTTCATTATGAAACAAACATAGAAAGGTAAAAAAAATAGGATTCCACAACATTCTATGACAACAAAAAACTATCCTTAAATTTTTATAGATTAGGAAGGAATCCATAAAAAATATCATTTTCCTAATCCTATTTTTGCTCACTATTGAACCAAACACCGCTAAGATGGTTAAGAATCTTTGCAAGGATGACTGTATATACAAGTAGGATAAAATTACTAAGTTACAAGGTTAGGTCAAATAATATAATATGCCATAAAATTAGAGCAAGTTTGGCAAGTAAGCCACTTTGACATGTTTGGAAAACGGATTATTTTGGTTTATAAGCATAAAAAATAAGTTAGGCTACCCTACCTTATTTTTGGTGGCTTATAAGCTATAAGGTTTGACAAGTAAAATACTAATTTATACCCCTCACCATGTTAGAAAATTTGCTGAACACTTTGGCCTATAGTCCACTTTGCTTATAATCCATGTGTGGATTATAAGCTAAGTGGATTGTCATCCAAAGTTGTCAAACATGCTCTTAAATATGTGTAAATAACTAGCTCATGTAAAAAGAAAATAAAATCATCTCTTAACAGTATGAGCAATACGTTGTTTTTAATTCAATCTAAAAGGATACAAGTCTTAAACTAACCTCATAATTCACGAATGAATGTATTTATGTACATTCATTGACATCAGAGGAGCAAGATAATAAAAAAACATCTAGTAAAACTACAGTCGGTTAGATTTATAACCGATTTATAGTGTAGTAAGCTCATCAGAATGATACTGACAAAGCGATAATAAATAGAATAACGGAAGAAGCACTTATAGATAGAAGGAGAAATATGTACCTTCTTTATCTCGATCTTTGGTGGTTCTGCACTGTGATAAAATGCTGGCAGAGGTCTAGCCTTGAAGCAATGTCTTTGGTGTAGCTTCTTAATGTCACTTTCAGCTTTTTCCTTTAGAATAAAGGTAGAAAGCAAATTATATCTCAAAAAAGAAAGATAGTGCATTTGATTCAAACCACTAAATAGAAAATTAAACTTTATCATCATTGAGCAAAAGGCTATAGAAACTAGTGACGAAACCTTAGGTAATTTTTGCAGCTGAAGCTTTTCTGTTTCCTTCCCACAAAAGTTATCTTCAGTATTACGAGAGAGCTGAAACAATAATAGAAGTTAAGTGCGAAAATAGCAAATTAATTTGCGCAACTGCAGTACAATGATTCAAATTTGATACTGAAAAATTAAGGTCTGTTGCTTAGAAATTTTCTTACCTCTTTTCGTTTGTCTGCCCTTTCTGCACTTCTTAAGCTAAGAGAAGGCCGTGCAGTCTGAGCTTGTAATCGGCTTTCTTTAATGCCTGAAGATCCTGAAAAGCTGTTCATGGATAAACAGTTGACCAAACATTTGTTCTTCAGTACGAGAATAAGTATTTGAAAAATGACATTGTCAAAATTTTCTGTCAGGGGTGTACTTTACAGAGCCTTTATAGGATTTTGCTTCTCCTTTTCCTCTTCCAGAAAGTCTTTGATGCAGTGGTGTTTTCTCTCTGAATACACAGATAAAAATTAATAAAAATGAGTTACTTTACAGAGCCTCTAGATTATTTGAGACCTTCGGTTCTACCCAGCAGAATTTCGAGGAAGCTAACTGATTTTCTAGAATTATGGCGAGCCCTTCTGTCTATCATCTTTGTGCTAGGAATTTTACACTAACTTAAAGAGGATTGACATCAGTTGGATGTTTATTAAACTTTTCACAGGCTTTCTCCATAGCCGCATTTGATGTGAAAAGGCTTATATAATAATGAAGAGTATTAACTGATAACATGTAGAATGATAACTAACTAACTATATGAATATGAAATTCTAATAGCTAAACTGATTTCAGTTCACACTTAATAGATCGCTTTACCTTCTATGTTCAGAGTCTTCAGGCTTGGAGGTGATGGAAGCAGTGTTTAATGTTCCATTTACAGATGCCTGCAATGAAAAATTCGTTGTAAATTTAGCATAGCAAATAACAACCAACAACATCATGATTTTCACATAGCAAGCACCTTGGTTGGTGTTGCAAGATGATTGGTGCTGCCCCGAATCACTTTCAGTAAAGTACTAGAAGCCTTTGATTCTTCAACCTTCTTGGTCACCGGCAAAGTTTTATTCTTGATGGGTGGTACTCCTTTTCGACCTTGAAAGAAATTGATCGACGTATGCACCGATGGCAAAGTTGATTTCATTTTCTCATTAGATTTAGTCTCGTCCTTCTTACTATTAGAAGTGGATTCCGCAGGGGCAAGAGAAGGTGGGAGCCTTGGTGATCTATGAACAGCTTTTTGTTTTGACATAGGAACTCTTTGTTTCTTCTGAATTGAATCTCCATCCTTCTGATTGACAATAGAGCTTTCCTGGGAATATAATGAAATTGAAGCAATTTAACTTAAGAAAGCAAAAGAAAACAATAAACACTATAAAGTATCCACACATTACATTTAGTGGCTGTTTCGACGGTGGGCTAGTTCTAAGCTGCATATGATCAATAACCCTGTTATGGTTCTCAATATCATCACAAGAGGGCTCAATCGTAACTTTATCTTCAGTCACTGGAACTGTTGTTTTTTGCAAATGATCAGTTTCCAACCCACATTGTTCTTCACCCAAATCAGGTTCTTTTACATTCATTTCATTCCGAGCCACCTCAGTACTAAGCTCTTCGGATTCCAATTTCATACCCGAAACTTCCTCGTTACACTCATCGATCCTTCCAGCTCTAACAATGGCATTGGATTGTTCTAGCAATGAGGCTGATTTCTTCAAAGCTGCAGATTTCTTGTAATGGGCTTCAAAATAAGCTTTTTTCTGTGCAACGGAGCCCGGAGTTGAGTACTTCTCAATTTCTTCTAAATGCATTTTCTGACAGAAAGAGGACCATTTCCCCCAATCTAAAGATTCTGATAGAAATCTCCCAAATGAGATAGATCCCCCTAATGCTGCTGTAATTGTGCTGTCCTGTGAACATTTCAATGAAAGCGATCACCACGAAAACAAGCCCGATAATTAATAAATAAACAACAGGAGCCAAAATGCATGAATTTCTTCCATAAATAGAGTTTTTACATCCAAAAACAAAAACAAAAAAACCCATGAAAAATCTTGCACTGAAACTGAAACCCATCAACAGAAATGCAAATGCAAAAGATCCCCCTCAACAATAGGAGCCAAAGCCCATTTCAACTATAGAGAGAATTTTGACACAAAAGAACAAAAACCCAAGAAAAAGTCTTGCACTAAAACTCAAACCCATCAGCAGAAATGCAATGCAAAGACAAGGAACTAAGAAAAAGATGGGTTTTTTTCTTTTTTTTTTCTTTCTTTACCTTATCAGGATCTCGTTTGCAGATTTCAGGGGAATGACAAGAGCCCTGAACTAGAAAGGAAGAGTCACCCATTTCCTGTCTCAGCGGAACCGAAATCTAATCCTTCAATCCTCTTCTTTTCTTCCACCTTTCTTCAATATTTTTTGAATTTTTTTTCTTTTTTCTTTTTTAAACTGGGCTCAAGGTTCGAAGCTTGGAAATGTATATTAACCAAGGAAACTGTTCATGCTGCGGTTCTCCCCCCGTTCTCTCGAGGCATTCAAATTCCAAAGTGTTCGCCTTTTTGAATCAAAATGCATAAAGAATTTGAGAAGAGACACAAAATGATAGGAAGTCAAATATAACTGACAACAAATTGCTTTTGTGTTGGCCCTCAATAGAAGATCAGAAAATTATACAGTGAATAGGGTTAATTGACAACAAATTGCTTTTGTGTTGGCCCTCAATAGAAGATCAGAAAATTATACAGTGAATAGGGTTAATTACGAACAGACCCTCCGTACTGTTATACAATTGCAAAAACCACCCATGTCGTTCTTTTTTATTAGGAAAAATTGCTTGGGGGAACCAAATTAAATTGGCTCATTCATCCCCACCCTCAGTCCAAGAACCATAACCCAAACACCCTTAAACCGAAAAAGGAGTGCAAGTAACCCTCAAATACTGTGTAAACCCACTGCCCAATAAATCCATTCCCAAATTACCCTTCCCCATTTAATACTCCCACGATCCCATTTCTCCTTGAGCTGACCCCAAGATCTCCCCCTCCCCCCAACACGACAAGCCCTCATCCTCCGTCTCCGGCGAGGTCCGCATCATCTGCGTAAACGGCCACGGTGACGACGACGTCATCCTCGCCGACGCCGCTCTCTGTCGCACACCCTCCGAGACATCTCCGGCGATAAAAAAGCCTCGATCATCGACTTCTTCGACGTCGTCGCAGGATCCGGCGTCGGCGGAGTCCTCGACTCCATGCTGTTCACCGGAGGCCCCGACGGACGCCCTCTCTTCTCCGCCGCCGACGCCGGAGACCTCCTCTCCAAGAAACTTTAACTTTGTTTGATTTACATAGCGAAACCCTAAATTGGGCGAAAATTCTTCTATTACTCTCTCCAAATCTGTGGATTTTTCTGGATTAATTCCGCTTAAATTCATGCTTTATGATTGATACGTTATCAATTTAGCAAAACCTCAGCTCGCTTACGCGTAAAATTTCAATTTGAGATAAAGTCGGGAGAATTTAATTTTAATTTTAAGTTGATTATTCTTCCCGCTTTGATATTTTGGATGCTTTTGTGGATTTTTTTTCCATTCTGCTTCAAATTTCAATGCTGGTTACGTAGTGTTAACGACTCTATTGCTTGTCCTCAGCTTGTAAATCTCTTGATTTGGTTGATTATATCTGTTTATTTCTATTTGGTAATTTTCAATTTGGTACAGTTTGGTATTTTTTTATTTCTCCGGCGATTTATTTGCTGTTAAAAGTCCACCAAATGTGCAATTTAGGCATTTTCCCTTACCGCTAGCTGGCGATAGAATTGGCGTGTAAAATGCACATGATGTCACTTTATTTAAATTGAGTGATATTAGAACGTCGATGTGCCTGTGTTTAAGTGAAGTCACTTGGATTTTACCCGCCAAAATTTATTACCAGCTGTGAGAAAAAAAATTTAGTTGTGAGCAATGTTTTAAGTAAGGTTCCTCTTTTTTGTTGTGTTTGTTGGTTGAATGATCTCTCTTGAATATGTGATGTTTGGGAAAATGCCTATGAGATAGAGTGATGTGTTTTTTAGTTGGGAACAATTTTTATGAATGCAAGGTGTTTGAGAAAATGTGTACGATATGGAACACCAATATGCATGTAATAGAGGAATGGTATGCTGGCAATGGAAGTAGTTGCTAAATGTTAGTGATTTCTGTTGTGGTTTCTGAAGAATGGTTTAGTGTTTGTAATTTCCTGATGTATTTTTGTTTGATGGGTTGAAATCCTTTGTAAGGATGATTTTGATCCAATTAGAGTTTAATTTGGGAGTGTTGTTATGTTTCTTAGTTATTCAATGTTAAATGGGAAAATGAGGGAACATATATGTATCACAATTAACCGTAAATATGACAAATAAGCATATCATGTGTGATATTAGATCTAATAGAGTCATTCCACATCCTCCGCCAAAATATCTTTTGTACTTTGGGGGTAATAATGTACCATTGATTGAGTGGAAGTATTAGACAAACACATGTAACTATAATGTGGTGATTTGAAATTGAAACCCAGTGTTGATTCTTCTTCTTCTATTTCTGCTATTGGGAAGAGGGGAATGTCTAAAAGTGGATTGTCCTGCAAATATTTTGGAGGTGTTTGAATATTTTGGACGAGTTATTGATTCCTAGGTCTTGGTGGGTAAAGAAGAATAAGGGGATGATGATGAAGGAGGATGTGGAATGAATCTATTAGATCTAAATATCACATACAACAAATTATAGCCATGTGTCACGTATAAACAAATTACAGCCATGTGACAAATAAGCACATTCACTATCAACAAATTACAGCCAAATATCACATTCAAATAAGTCCCATATAGTATTGACCGAAGTGCGAATACACCCTCTTAGTGATCTTCTTTTACTCTGTTTTCGGAGAAAATTATTTGATTCATTGCGGTGTTCATTACAAACTTCAGACGTTTACAACGAAAACAAAAATTAGTCTTTTTATAAGACCTTTACACAATGAAAACAAAAAAAAAATACAATTCTCTTCAAACAGCGCAGAGATCGTTTATCGGTCTTCTGCTTGCGTGGGATCTTGGCCTGTGACTGAGACGTTGATATCCGTGGACCACCGTCGATCAGATCTGATTGTTGAAAAATTAGGCAGAGCTTCATTGATTCGCGAAGGAATCAAGAAACCGTAGCGTTTATCTCGGCAACAGCGAGATAATTGTTCTTTTTAAGATTACCGCAACAGGGTAATCTTAAGGGACGAACCGGGCTGCAGATCTGACGAACTCCTCTTCTTTATGACGAAGAATCCGTTGAAGTCTCCTCCTCCTCTCTGAAATTCGTGGCTCTTCACTCCTTAATTCGGCAGGGCTTCGCCAACGCTCGAGAATTCCAGATCCCTAAAAAAAGAGGCTCTAGGGGCTGTATTTATAGGCTTCAAGGAGATCCGGGCGGTTAAAACCGCATAACGGGCATTTTTAGGGGCTGGAGACACCTCTGGGTGTCTCGGCGGCTTGGGCGGAGACACCCTAGGGTGTCTCGGCCTTGGCCGAGACACCTTGGGGTGTCTCGTTTGTGCCGAGACACCTCGGGATGTCTCAACTCAGGCTGAGACGTTCCGTTTTGTACATTTGTCCGTTTCCACCGTAACTTCTTCATCCGAACTCGGATTTGAGCGATTCAAAGTGCGTTGGAAAGCCAACGAGGAGTTATATAAGCTCCACTGATTAGATCATCTGTGGAATAAATGAGACACGAATGGTATTTCGCCGTTTGTGAACGACACGAGGTTCCCGATCAGTTCGTGTCTTTGTTATTCTGAAGTTCCGTTACTTCACGTAGTTCGTCGATTCACTTCAAGCGTTCACCGACATCAATCAAGCTTCTGTGAATCGGATAGTGACGTTCATCGTCTTTTCTTAGCGCTGAGCTGTTCATGGAGACCTATAGGCAATTTTTGATGCCTACAGATACCCCCTCCAAAGCGTTCCAGACTCGTTTCTTTTATAGAAGAGGCTGGAATACTTTGGATGTGATTGGTCCAGCCTTCGATCAGTGTACAGGACATGTAGTTAGCTTCAATTCTTGACTCCTTCGATTTTTAATATATTCGATGCTTTGACGAATAGCTAAAGTTCTTTCGGCGTTGCGTTTATCCCCTGGCCGTCGTCGAAGTCTTAAATCTAAAACTAATGAGTTGGGTTTGGCTCGTGTCGTCGAGTTGACTTTTTGATCGCAACACGTTGACTGGCGTTGACCTAGGGTTACGCATTGACCTTAGGGTTTGAACGTCGTACATTGACTTTTTGACCGTAACGCGTTGACTGGCGTTGACCTAGGATTACGCGTTGACTGGTGTTGACCTAGGGTTTCGGATCACCCGACGTTGACTTTTGGTCGTAACGCGTTGACCGGCGTTGACCTAGGGTTACGCATTGATCGGCGTTAACCTAGGGTTTCGGATCGCTTGACGTTGACACAGTTTATACTCGTACGTTTGCTGGATCATACACAATTTAAGCTCTTAAGGTATTGGAGCACGGTGATCCCAAATGTCGGAGCTGCAGGACCAACCATGAAAGCTGATTCATATGCGTGTATGGATATTATCCTGAAGTTATTGGATGCTGAAGTCACGAGACCAACTAATGAAGCTGATGCGTCAATGACTCGCATTTATAGAATTTTTGGCAAATTCTCAGCCATCAACGGGTTTGATTAGCCTTTACCGACTACCGTTTGAGTCGGGCTAGCATGTAGATTGTTTTAAGTCCGTTCCGCATATAACGTTAAGCTAAAAGAGTTAACCATTTTAGTGCTACGATATTGAATACGTAGACTTCGCCTTTCTTCTATGAAAAGACTAAATATCGACGTGTATCAGACGTAGACTTAAGATTTTTGGCAAATCCTCAGCCATCAACGGATTTGATATGCCTTTACCGACTACCGTTTGAGTTGGGCTAGCAAGCGAATTGTTGAAATCCGTTCTGAATGTGACGTTGTGCTAAAGGAATGAACTCCCTTAGACTTAATGCTACGACTTCGAATACGTAGACTTCGCCATTGTTACGGGAATAGGCTACCCGGCAACGCGTGTTAGGCGCTGACTTACCCTTACTTAGGATTCAGGATAAAAGTCCCCAGACTCGAATTCTGGTGTCTTCTTCAATCGGTAAAAGACTAAACCGGAAACGCGTATTAGGCGTTGGCTTATCCCTGCTTAGGCTTCGGGATAAAATTCCATGTGCGTGTGAAGCACGGATTTTGGCGTTATTAATAACAACCTGCCACAATATTGAATATGTGTGCTTTTGCCCTTTTTACGGTTAAGGACTAACCGACAACGCGTGTTAGGCGCTGACTTATCCCTACTTAGGCTTCGGGATAAACTTCCCCGTGCTTGTGAAGCACGGATTTTGGCGTTATTAATAACAACCTGCCACAATATTAAATATGTGGGCTTTTGTCCTTTTTACGGTTAAGGACTAACCGACAACGCGTATTAGGCGTTGACTTATCCTTTCTTAGGATTCAGGATAAAATTCCCCAGACTGGAATTCTGGTGTCTTCTTCAATCGGTAAAAGACTAAACCGACAACGTGTGTTAGACGTAGG